GAAATAAATAATAAAATGTTTTATTCAGCTGCTAATTTGGAGCCAGTTATATTGACTGTTGCTCTATGAACATAGGTTTTCGTTTGCGGAAGCACCCACTGGTGTAGTTAAACAGAGCTGTAGTAGAAAACCCTTTATAATTCGAGATTAAATCACTTTGCTCAAACGGGTCATAAAACTAGCATTGAAGGATTTTATTCCGTTATCCGTCCAGTGTCAAATGAATTGACGGAAGCCTCTAGTTACAAAATATTCAAAACAACAGAGGCTTACGCAATTCGCTTAAATTAGCTGGTGCTCTGTGCACAAAAGAAATGCATCTATCTACTATGGCATGCCATCGAATCTATAAATTCATGAATACTATACTAGGTCATACCTTCTGAGTATAACCATCAAGTGACATCTTACTCCAGGCCATGGCTCGAGTGGAACCTGAATGGGAAGCGGTGAGTTTGTCGTCAGTGCAGGGGTGACATGAAGGAGATCATGTGAGAAGGAGATGAAAGCATGTGGGCAGACTCTGGAGCCAGGTGCAGACTTTAGCTGAAACCCTGTGTCCCTCCAGGAACTAAAGGAGACAATAATAATAACTCATCATCCACTGTATGTCGATTCTCCCTTCCCCCAACTCTTAATTATTACACTTGTATAAGCAAACCTTTTGTTTTCTTAATTTATATTTAGAAATTCATCTACTCACGAGCACACACGCAGAAGCTTCTACCCCATTTTCACTTCGTTTTTCATATTATCATTCATCTATATGAAATTTATAAGCAGTCGGAGTAAAATTCAATATGAACAATGGTCATGGGCATTCATTCCTTCGTTGTTACTCATGATCATTTACTATAGAAATCTAATGTTTAATTCAGCGTTACATTTATGCATATTATCATATAAAAATGTTTTGAAGACCACATCTTCCAATTGCATTAAACACAGAAATTCACAGCAACCAATGAAACCAGTGAATTCTTCATAAAATGAATCTGTATTAAGAAGGAAAACAGTATCTACAAAAAGAAGCCATTTTAGTAGAAAGCATCACCCTAAATAATTCCTTTTTTCTTATGAAAGCAACATTTCGGCATAGTTCAGCTGAAACATGAACGCTTGTGACCAAACTGTGAAGAGTACCACAATCAGACCAACTCAACATACCAACCAAGTCATTTACACTTCCCATCACTCTAAAAGAAATATTACGAACTCTTATTGAAAATTACTTTTATTCAAACATTTTATAGGTGAAGTTTCAACCGTATAAAAACCCTTAGCTGGTCAAATCAAGCTGACTAGACCATATGCTGCTTACAGCCAATGTATTTGAGCTATAACCTGTTTGATGATAAGATTTTCTGATTCCTTTACGTCCCTAGTGGAACATTCAGCTTCAAGCTAGAGTTTTGAAGTTTCGGTGTCAGTGGCTTTATTTTTGCAGAGTGAAGTTGCTAGTCTCACGCAAAACCTTTCCTCTTTACCAGTCTCAATGCCGACTTCATCGGGTTTAGAAGTGCGCCGGCTGGGAAATGAACCTTGAACAACATGCATGGTTGGCGAGCATTCTACCACTATATCGCTGATCATAAGATTACTTATAATCAAATGAGGATCTTTCCGAATGTTTCAGTGTATAAGCAACGACTTCTGCAGGAGAATTCGAAACACACTAAGATTATTTTAAGTAATTCTATAATGACTTTAATTTGACTTGGCGCTTAAATTATTTCTGGAAACTCGTAACATCTATGGTCTGGATATTTTTAACAGAATGAAGGTGACTTTTTAAAGGTTAATTTTGAAAATAGGCATCATGGCTTGTGTAATTTTGCATGATGTTAACTTTAAAACTTTTCATGTACCAATCCACAATTATATTAATACACTCTAAACGTGTGGGCTCCCGGTACATTAGAAAATTTAGTGTTTTTCCTATAGAAAACTGGTGTGCATACATTACTAAAATAGTTAACGCAGAACGAGGAGGTTGGAGAAGTGTTTCTCCTTTATGCATCACTAAATTATTCCCCCTAAAGCCAGTTAGCTTACACGAGATAAATGTTATAACGACTGAACTTATTAGGAAAACCGTCGGAATTTAATAACTTACTGACTTGCTTATGTTTATGACAAGGAAGAGGAAATCAGTACAATACATTTTATAGATAAAAATATGTAAAATTTTGCAAAAGGATGAGCCCATTACTTTATTCGTGAAATTGTAATGCGTCTATAAATCTCACTCATCCTGATAACAGTTATCTGAACAAAATTATCTCAATTTCGTTGTTGTTAATGTAGTCATAGGCAGTGGTGTTTTTCTGAAGATATATATATATATTGTTTGCTGAACAGCGTTTGAAACAAATGTTTATTTCGAGAACACTCTGAAAAAGGCGTTCATAATGCGTGTGATATTTCAAGTGATAATATCTTGATTATCCAAAAATAAGGGTAAAAGGTTTAAAACATGCTTGAAAGTGCTCATTTTAAATGGTTAACACAGAAGATACTTAGAAGCATATGAAAGATTATGTAGAGTAATTCCCTCTCCTACACACGACATTCGACTTAAAATATATATATATATATGTCGCATCCCCCAGAAGTAAACCTCTCCTAGTTTGCCAGTTCACTAGATTGCAAACCAGTCATAAGCCTAGAATCAGAGTAAATGCCAGGTGTGCAGATAGTGATCTTACCCCCCAGAAAATCAGTACAATCTCTACAGAAACTTCAGAGTATAGAATATGTCTAAATAATAAATTTATTTCCTCTGTAATCAGGCAAGCGAAACGACGCCGGTTGGTGAAAGTTTTCGCGAAGTCAGCAAGTCTGTGTGTTCTCACATGATGAAAGCCCAAATAAGTGTAGTGTCATGGAATGTTCTCTCGTCGTTTAGAGCTGACATGGTTACTCAGATAACAGAAGAAATTAGGACATGTGGCACAGAAGTGCTAGGAGTCTGTGAGATCGAATGGAATGGAAGTGTTAGCTAGAAAGTCAGTAAACTCTTCCTGTTGTCCGGATGACAAACAGGGAAACACTAAAAGAGTAGCCATCATTATAACATTAATGGCATCGAAGGCTGGCATGCGGTGGCGGCCAATATCCCCCGCGATAATGAAGGGAGGAAAGTAACAGTTATCCAGTGCCATGCTCCTGCAAACAACTCAAACCCTCTGGAGAAGGAGGAAGACCTCTACAGACAACTTCAATCATTAATGGACAAGACCCTGGTTAAGATGGTGAAATTAAAATTCTGATGGATGATAAAAATGCCAGCCTAGGGGCTGAGAACATAGAAAGAGAACTTATCATGGATCGGGAGACTCTTGGCAAAGAAGAACAGGCTGCAGATAAGAAGGACCTTAATTCATTATATCCAGTTATCAGCTCTTTCTCTTGCAGGAGATTAACACAGGTCACATCAATGAGAGATGATGAAAGAAACCCAATTGAAAAAGTGATGAAACAAAGGAAACGGTACGCTGATCCCTAGAAAGGACTCCTGAGTAGACCACCATCAAAAATCTGTCAATATTTACCTCCGACAGCTACATAATTGTCTTTTGAACACCTGCTGCCAACTGGGTCAGATGTCTTGAATGCCATCAAGCGATTGAAAGCCTCAAAACAGTAGAACCAGATGGAATTTCAGAAAAACAGTAAAAATGGAACCAGAGATCGCAATACACATGCTCGCGACACGAACACAGAAGTTTTAGAAGAAAGAAAGAGTAGTTGTGGATTGGAAGAAAAGATACCTTGTCAAACATTCAGAGAAGGGCAATTTAAGCATATAAAAGAAGTAACACGGAATCATGCTTCTGTCTACTCCAACCAAAACATTAAGCTACATCATCTTGAAGAGACTAAAAAAGATGCTGTGGATTCAGAGCTCTACCCAGAACATGCTGGATGCAATAAAAACACATCATATGAGGATAAAATGACAACAACATTTTGTGTCATCGTCGAACACTGGATGGGGTTTCATTCAACATTTCACCTCAACTTGGTTATCTTTGGGAAGGTCTTTGATGGAATTGACCATGAAGCTATTCGACAGTCCCTTCAAAACTACGCAGTGCTGCAAATCCTTACAAACTTCATTAGAAATCCATGGGATTTCGGAGTATGCAAAGTGATTCACAACGGAAAGCTCAATAAGATGGTTAAATTTAGGATAGAAGTTAGACAAGGCTGCCTAACATCACAGATGACTTAAGTGTGGTGGAGTCATGCAGCTGACAGCTGGGAGTATGAAGACGTTCAAACATTGAGCCATCAAAAGTCTCTACGAAATCTGAACTTCGCGGGCGATTTATGTCTAATGTTATACAAAATTTCAAACCTACTGGCAAAACCAACAACTCGGTAGGAGAAGTAGCGAAGACATGACTTTAAGTAAACATAAAGAAGATGGAAGACACGAAGATATCTAACCGACACAACAAGCGTCAGTTACAGTTAACGGAAGAAAATTAAAAGAAGGCATCTCTCTCACTTATCTAGACAACATCGTCTCAAGTAAAGACGGTATATATGAGGATGTCAAAGCCAGGGTCGGTAAAGCGAAGCAGTCCTTCATTACTCGGAAATTACTGTTGAAATCTGCTGATTCCAGAATAATGAACAAGATTCGGATTTTCAGCACCACTGTCAAATCAGTTTACCTATACTGCTCATAGGAGATCAAATCTTATGGACTAATATGGAGCCAGATAAACATTCTATGTCATCAGGATTAGGCGAATACTGATAGCTAGCCAAGAGTGAGATCTTGTTTCATTATCGAATTACATTTTCTAATCAAAACCAGTTGACAAATTCACTGAAATATTAAAAATAACAGTCTGTGAATAATTTCCTTATGAAGATAACTTTATGTGAGGATGATGTAGATTGTGAAAAAATATTATGTAAATCAACAAAAAACAGAAGTAATATTTCTTACAGATTTCGGGAATAAAATATATACATACATTTATTCAATATTTACCTGACAGTTTGATATTCACACTTGGCAAACTGGTTTGTTTATTGTTTAGTCGAAAATTGTGCGGTTTATCTAAATAAACATTGTCGCCTTGACTTAATATTGAATTTATTGCATTTCTGTTGGTATTTGAGATTGCATAAATGTCAACTGGTTGACCTTTAGCTAGAAAATCGGAAAACTCTTTTGTTGGTAGGATATTTTCATAAACATTTAAGTCACAGCCTTCATTTTTCCAGTTGACTGAACTAAAAGCATGCGGTTTACTGCTTTGTATGGTTGTAAAAGCTGAATCGGTATGTAAAGCACGTTCTACAGGTGGTTTGTAGTCTTGAATATTAGTTGACTTTGGAATTTGGTGAATGGAGAATTGAAAATCTGTGTACATTGTAATAATAAAAATATAACCATTTTATAACCGTGCCGAATGAATAAGTGGATTTTTCATTTTACTTTACACAATAAGTTCAGAAAGTGATCAAACCGGTTTTATCGGTTAATGCATTGTGCAATATAAATTGTTATGGATAAATACTAGACAAAACAGTTGCAATGGGCGAACTGTTTATAAACTAGAAAAAGAAGCTTTGCGCCACAGGAATCTTGATTCTGACTCGAAAAGTTAGCAAGAAAAAGTGGTAGCTCACAGAATTTATTAGTCTCAATATATATTTTAAACTACTGGAAGCAATAATATGATCTCAAGAGAACACTGTGTTAGTATTAAATATCTAACTAGTGTTTCAGTATGCTGGTAAAGAATCTAACGAATGAATGAAGCGTACAACCTGTGGTCTAACACTTTGTTTAACCAAAAGGCTGGTAAGTCACTGTAAACCTTTCTACAGAAGTGTGACTATGTATTATTAGTATTCCGTCTGGTGCCAAGTGGAATGTGTAGCTTCAATAGAACATCTCTATATTGCTATCTTCTATGCAGTCTGTTTTAGTTGGCTTTATATTTGGACACATTATCTCTTCCATATCACCCCCAAGCTCTCCATTTTCTATTCAGGCTTTTTTCATTGGCATGGTGCAAGATTTTACTCAGCAGTCTCCTTGGTTTGTTTCGTCCATCTCCTTTTTCTTCAGCACATTTGATGGGTAGTAGATTCCTGGTTGGTAATCCTTTCTGACCATCTGACCTTCAGTATCGAGCCAAAGGGGCAGCTATTGATGAAAGTCTGCATTGGCCTTTTAGAAATGCCTTTGCTGATACTTGTCCTAAGTCTCTGAACCATATAGAACCACCTATTTGACGCTAGTTTGTAAAAATCCAAATATTGTTCCCTATGATGAGTGCAGCAGATTTCGACATTGATTTCAGTGTAATGAAGATCTGTCTTGTTCTCCCCCTTCTGATCCTTGTTGGGTTTGATGTTCTCATCAATGCCATCTTTCATTGAAACTACGCTGTTTAAATAAGCTAAGGAAGTGACCTCCTTCAAATTTCTTCCATTCATGGTGACTGATGCTTTTTGTTGTTTGGCGGCCTGCTTAAAATTTGGGCTATCAAAAACCTCTATCAACATATTGTATGTACTTTCTTTTATTCAGTTTGTTTAAATCTAGTAAAATATGATCTCTGATAGTAATGTTTACTCTGGCAAGTATTTGAAACACTTACAACCTGTTGATTTTCAAGTTTCTACTAGACATTTGAAAAGCATTACTCTCGATGGCACCTTATCCCAATAACTGATATGACCGTTCCTAAGCGGTATCCTTGGTCCAAAAAATGTACTCCTGAACTTTTATAGTTGGTATTCAACAAAATATCATTCATTTCTCGAGAGAGAAAAAGATGAGATATCATAATGGACTTGTTTGCGGTTCGGTTAGATAGAACTGTGTCACACAGTCTACTGTCAATTAATCTTCTATTAAGATCTAGAAGAAAATTCATACAATAACTCCTATCTGATTATTTCCTTTTTCTTCTCCTATAGAATTGTTGTTTGCCTGCATATTATTAAATAAAATAAATCGTAAATTGTATTAACAACCAACAATTCTTAACACTAATTGCAGTCAGGATTTCCAGGTTGTTTGTCTCCTCAGTCAAATGATTTGCGAAAAACTTTCTTATTAAAAATATTCCACTTGTTACTTTTCTCCTACTTTGCAGAAAACCACGAATATGGTTTGTAGGCACCTGTAAAAACCGGTTACTTCATTTTCTGTCTAAGCTAGGACTAATTCTGTCTGTCTTGAATTTTGCCCCATATTTCGCTTACTCGGATATAAACTTATATTATGGCATTCCAGGATAGGAAATGTCGAAAAGAATAAAAAAGGAATAAAACTGGTCACTTAAACCCTGATCTATTGCCCAGTTTATTCATCCGTCCTCACTTTGTTCAAACTTGTATAGGTATTATTATAAATTTACTAATGTGAAATATTCCCATATCATGAATTAAAAGTCAATCTGAACGAAGAATATTCTTTTCAATGTAATAATAATGAGAGTGCTTCTTCCCGTTAACCCTCTTGGTTTTTTTTCTTTCATTAAAATGACAAGTCATGGGGGCTAGTCAAAGTGTGTATTAAAAGGAGATATAGCTGAATGAGAGTCATAATGAAATAAGAATGTGTGAATGAAACAGGTGGAGGCAATTTGAGAAAAGAGATAATATCACTATAATAAGTCCGGATAGCAAAGAAATGATAGTATTGAGAGAATGTTGCATAAGGATAATTATGACGAATAAAAATTTATATTATTACAATTATTACTGTTGTTATTCGTCATAATTTATGTCCTTCATGCAAACATTCTCTCAATACTATCGAATTTACCATTTGTACTATCCGGACTTATTATTAGTGATATTATCCCTTTTCTCAATATATGCCTCCATCTGTTTCATTTCACACATTCGTTATTTCATTATGAACCTCTCATTGCAGTCTTACTATCTCCTCTTTTATAAATATCACTTTGTACTAGCCACTCACCTGACACCTTTTATAACCTTGAACTGACTTGTCAATTATTCCTGCCCCACACTCTACAAATCTATTATGACTAATCACCACCATTATCTCCAATTTTACAATATTTTGTAATCGATTTCAGCCTAGCACTTTTGTCACACAAATACGACTATTTATTTTGACACCCCATAACTAATCTGTTACTCTACGTTAAAAATGTATCTGGCGCATAACTGGCCTGTATTGCAACGACAACAAATATTATACTTCATAATTGTAAGAACCTGAAGCGGAGAAATAATTGAAAAGAATATTCTTCGTTCAGATTGATTTTTAACTATCATAAATATTTTTAAAACTTTAGATTTTTCAGACTTCTTAATTTTTCTTACTATTAATTAATTAATTTATCAGCTTTATTTTCTTGGTATATTAATATTGGCAAAAAGATTTATTTCGAGAAATTATTGTCTTTAAAAGCTGTAAATTTCTTAACGGATGAATGAAACCTACCAACTTTCGAGTTTAGAAATTAGTATATATACCAGACAATAGCAAAGTGGACAAAACAATGTTTTATATTATTCAATTCTGACGTGACTTCTTTGCGAGAAAACCAACAAGGAATTCTGGCTACCAACATACTAAGAGTCTATCACTCAAAAAATATGCCAAAGGATGTACAGATAGATTGGACATACACTGAGGAAACTGTTGAACGGCATCATACTGCACGCCTGTAAATGGAAAGAGTTGAGTTGGGCGCGGTTCCGGGGGTGAGAAAGAGCAGGTTGATAGGACCCAGCATAAAATAGTATATCATCCTTTCCCACGAATCGTGTGATTTACCAAGTGATGGAGTTACTATGTGAATCTATCATTTCTCACGTATATTGTGGTTTAGTGTGTGACCAGTTCATCTTCTTTTGTCTCACCTTGATCTTCGTCTGACCACCAGCCAATCAGGATAGACATTTCCAACCAATAAGAACAATACATTCTCACGGTTGTGAGCCGACCTTATTATGGTTGTGTTTCTTTAACTACATAGTACAGTATAATGCAGTACTTTACAGTCATAGTCCAACCTTTGTCTTTTGATATTTGTGTGACTCGGTGAATTTGATGGCACAACGGACAAATAGGCATATTAGTGTATCATCTATAAGTAATGTTTACTGATGACGTTTCGAGTACAATTTATTCCTCTTTAATAGATTCACATGTTCCGTTTTGATTCAGTAGTATTTTCCATATTTCAGTATGAGATATTCTTCATGTGTTGGGTGTAGATTCGATGATCAGATTCAGTAATCAATCTCTCTCTCCACCTACCTAGATTACTTTTTAGAATTTTAACCCTCTCCCACCCTATTGTGTGGTTGTGTGTTATTGCATACATTGCACTTGCTGAGCCCAATTAGACAAAATAATATCATTTACACAATACCCTGCAATGACTGTGAGTCAAGTCAACTACATAGGTCAAACTAGGAGGTCGGGTGTAGTCAGATTGTCGGAACATAAGAATTTAGCTAAGGTAAGAATGGTTGACCCAGAGAAGATGAGTAGTTTAGAAAAAAGCTCAGCGATTGCACTGCATACACTAACACACAACCACACAATAGGGTGGGAGAGGGTTAAAATTCTAAAAAGTAATCTAGGTAGGTGGAGAGAGAGATTGATTACTGAATCTTTGATCATCGAATCTACACCCAACACATGCAATAGGAATGATTCATCGCTCATACCTGAAATATGGAAAATACTACTGCCAATCAAATCAAGTGAAAAACAACGGAACTATGTAAATGAATTTAGGAAGTCGTGTGATTACCTTGATATGATTATGAGGAATAAATTGTCTCGAAACGTCATCAGTAAACATTACTGTATAACACTGTGAGACTTTATGAAAACAAAATTTACCCATAGTGGAATTACACTCTACCACAGTGCACAAGTTTTATTCTTATATCCATATTAGTGTATCAGTCGAGTTCATTACCATTATAGTTACTACCATGAGCAGACGTAACTAATTAGCCACGGATTTATTTATTTCAGTTCAGTTATAACAAATTTGCAACAGAGTTATAACATAGTTCGTGTAAGAATGAAACGAAAGCCTGTGCGTAATCGTGGATCCAACCAAATAAGACTGCTGCAGAAGCCATATGTTCCACTTGGGATCTGAGAGGATAATAATGATACTGTAGAAATAGAATGGACTCCGTATAACGGATTTTTTTTATAATGTGCATCAGTTTGCGGATTATTCTGGCTTATACAAATTTTCAATTGACTCATCATTATTTTAAGTAAACTGGCATAATTATACAGGTTCTCTTTACAATATTCACAACATACCTTGGAGTGTCTCATTTTTTCGTCCCAGAAGTATGATGTCTCTGAGGCTGTCATATGTATTTTGTTCACTTTTAGTATTGGGAATTTCAATTCTCAATGCATCGATGTTTAAGTCATATGCGTTGAGATTTTTAATTTCATGTTCACTTTCGATTGATAATTCTGCTTCCTTGAATACTTGTCTTTGAAAACTCTTTTGATGGATCAATTTGAACAAATCTATAGAGAGTTTTAGTCGAAAGCCAAGTGAGTAGTTGGTTTTCTTCAAATGACACATGAATATCCCCTTTTGAAAATCAAATTCTGGTATAATTGATACATGATATGTGTTGCCTATTTGAGACAAAAATGAAACTGAGTTTAATATCAAATGTACTGACTGATAATCAGTTCTATTAAAAGCATCAATGTATAATGCACCTTGAAACTATAGGACCTGTAAAAAAGCTAGTGGCGAAGTACTCCTTAAGGAATACATTTGAATTCGTGGATTCGATAATGCAAGTGAATGTATTTGGGCCAACCCTGACTACGGTGGACGTAGTTTCCCCGTTCACCGATGTCCATTTAACAAAAACTGTGTGCTGCTTATGTGAGTTTATCAACTCAAATAATCTGAGTGTTGGTTCACCCCCTAATTTTATCAAAGAACCTATATCTCAAATTGGGGTGATCGCTCAGTTTTTATTCAGTGGTAAACAAATCGACAGAAAGATGAAGTATCAATGGGATCTCCACTTCATCCATCACTCGACAGTTGCTTGAATCAGATATTCTCTCACTAGCAATCAAACGGTCGGAAGTTAAGAAGCAGTTTATGGATGATATATTTTTCATCATTAATGAAAATACTGACCAAAAGAAAGTCCTGAAAATCCTGAACAGCACTCATCAATATACAAAAATACCATCCGAACAACACTGGGAAGTTGTAGATTAAATCTAAATTCAGGAAACAGAAATAATTAGTAAAGCAAATTCACTGTTACATTATTGTCATATTTTTTAGCGTAATTACAGAAAACCTTCAACGTAATAGCTGCTAAAAGCATACGAATAAGCAAATGGAAAGTTAATATCCCTCAAGTTTTATTACCATCAACTTTGTTTATTATTTTCGTCTATGGCTAAATGTTCTCCTTTAATGGAGTGAATAATTATTAAGGCATTTCTTTGATGCAAAACAGGTAAATTACACATATTATTGCAGATAATATATTTCTCTGCTTTATATCTAATACTCAACTTATCTGTATTAGAATAAAGTAAGGTAATTACAAAAAAATAATTTTCGTCAGTATGCTTATAATGTTTGATTACACACGGAAGTCTTTATGCGTCTTTGTTTTCTTAGTGGTAATGAAAGAGTGAGTCTCTCTCTGACTGCGTTTGGAGAATTCCCTCAAAATGAGTAGACTAATAGTATGATTAAGTGTCATTCATTAGGTTCCGTTTTCATAACTAAAAGAGCAAATATAGGGGGTTCTTTGAAGTACTTTTTACACGAATATAAATGACAAAAACAGTTTTATTCTGCAGAATTCATTTAGGCTTGAAATCACATGGTTGATAGTGGAGTAGAAAGGATTCTCTGTCATATCTAAAGGATTCTTGATGTTATTAAAACAGTTTGAGTGAATATGATGTAAATAATTCCAAATACGATTCCTTATGTTATTCTAGTGAGTTTTATTAAGTAGGATCAGACACTACCTCACTGTTTATAGTAGAACAATCAATTTTAGATCTTAAATGGATATTCACTTCGAACTTATGATATCAGGACTAATAAAAGTGGTGTGATCTTTTTATCTACAGTTAATGTAAAATAATATAAAAGTTGCTTACCATCCATGCAGATTTTATCCTCTAATGTTATCTTTTTGTCTACTTCTGACTGGCACACAGGACTGTAGTATGCTAAACATGCAGGTGTATTGTAACACGATATGCTACAACAAGGAGGATCAGCAAATTTTCCTTCACTTTTGAAGTGACCAGCGTTGATACCTTTAATTAAAGAGAAACACCAAACTTAGATGATTATTTTACTTACTGAATATGTTGTAAATTATAATAACCAGTCACAAAAACAAGTTCCAAAAACTCTGTTTGGTACCAGCTACGAAAAAATGGCATGTTCTTGACATAGATTATTTTAATTGGAAACATTAGAAAAACACATACTCGCAAGGAATATCTGAGTTGGCTGACGAGTAGGGAGGAGGTATAGCAAGTTTAGTAGGGTGATGTAATAGTTATTCACTTTATGGGATTTGGTCAACAGAAAAAAATCAATTTTTGATATGAAAGGGCATAAGGTTAACATATTTTATCAAATTAATTACAAACAGTACAATTAAATACTGAGTCGAATGGACGAAATTATGTAAAATATCTGTAACCCTGTATATAAATATATTTCAAGATAAGCAAATTAGATAGATGTTGCAGAGATATAAACATAAATTTATTACCAAATACTTTGTAAGAAATATAGACATCAAGGGATTCACACGAATCAAGAATAGGTTGAAATGTATAAGAAAGTGAGCGACAACATGTGAATTACATATCAAGCTATTTTAATTCTGAAGATTTTCACCGCACTATTATCTTAGATATATATTTAATTGTTACCGTAATGATCTTAGTTAGTGAACTTCACATTAAAAGGACTGATATTGACAAATGATTGTTGACAAAGTAGGCAGATAAAGTGTGAATATTCTGTTAGGGTTACTGACTGGAATTTAATTGGAAAATAAATATTTTTATAGCTAAATCAGTGTGCATCTACCATTTTATCTGCTAGTGTGGAGCTATTGGTTTAAGGATAAATCTTGGGCACTGTGGTAGGGTGTAACTCCATTATGGATAAAATTTTATCCTGATGAAATCACACAGTGTTATACAGTAATATTTACTAATGACGTTTCGAGCACAAATTATTGCCCATAATCATATCAGGGTACTCACATAACTGTCTTGCTCCATTTATATATATATGAGTGAAAGCTAACTGCACATTTGAATAAAATCAATATAAGATAAAGTATGTCGGACGCACCCAGCGTTTGCTATCCAAACATATCATCGAACACTTGTCCTCAAGGTTTTATAACGGTTGAAAAAGGTCCCCAAAAGCTCTTTTCTGGGACACCTGATCGGATCAGGACACCAAGCAAACCCAAAAAGTAACTTCAAGAAAATCTACAGAATACGTAGGAATGTTGCTAAAAGAGTACAAATCAAACTTCTTCAAACCACAGAAGCAATGGCAATTCGTATATTAAAACATGAACTCTGCATAGAAAAGAGATTTGTTCAGTTAATAAATCTATGGTGGACCTAACCTATCTTAACACCAAATACGTGATTTTTGTATCATCTTTTTTTGTTTGTTTGTTTCTTAATTGTATAATATTTCCCCCCACCCCTTATTAAATCTCCACCCTTTATAACCACTGATGACTTTTTAAAATTTTATCTGAGATCTACTTAACCCCGTCAATTAGATTACGTCACTAAACTTGCTTATTTAATCTTATTTTAGTTAAAAAATTTACAATTCTAATGACAAATCTTTAAAAATATTCATTTTGTTGCTAAGACAATTTACTACATATATGTATCTGTACAGCATGAGGATGATATCGCTGAAAAGGATAACTCTACGCTGAACGTCTTTTCTTTCATATGACTCAATGGGAATTTTCAAGTTGATAAATGTATTGTTTCATGAAGGTTTAAATGGAGGTACTTACTACATTCCTTAAAATCAGGTTTGCAGAAATCAGACAGCAAAGTCAGAAGTATTTTGATTCAAAACAGATACTGAGGAATCAATTCCTTCACATTTCTAATGGAACCTATGACTTCAAGCTTTAAGCTTTCAGTTTCCTGAAGGGGTGATATTTTACATAAGATGGGGTCGCTAGCCTCATACCAAAATTTCCGTCTTTACTGGACTTACTAAAAGCTAGGTGAGCTTTAGTAGTATGCTGGAAAGGAATCCAAACAGAAATATTTGCGTGGCTGGTGAACATTCTACCACTGTATCACCAAGGTAACAAAAAAATTAATATAAGGTACGAAATGCCATTGTAGATCTAAGTGGAATTATGGTAACAAAAATTTAACCATTGTGGAGAAATATTCAAAACGGTCCGGTATCATTTTAAAGTGATTGCGTATAGTAAGTCCATCATCACTTTATTCCGTTTGAAATGTTGTCTCTTTTGTTAGGGCTGTATACTATATCTTTCAAATTTAACCCATAATTTTGTATGAAGTCTGGTCAACATCTGACCGAAATGAGAACACATGCAGAAATTATACTTGTATAAGTCTCAGTAAAAGTGAAATAAATAATTCACGGTCAGCTGTCAAACTTCTATCGTTGGGTATCCAGCAATCGCAAGCGGAACCTGATAGTACCTCTTGCGACTAGAATCCATAGAATCTGCAGCCCCAAATCAGTAAAAAATGAGATCACTCTTTTTAGGAAGATAATACATGAGAATGACTATCCACCACACTTTATAAATAAACAGATAAAGCTGAAAATCAAGAAACAACAACCCGTCTCTGTGCCGAAAAAGATGCTGCGTATGAATGTGGCGTTCACAGGTAACCTACTGGGCGGCATCTTAAAGAGAAGAATATCTGATACCTTGAAAAGGACATTCCCTGCTGTTACATTACGATTGGTATTCTCAAGCCACCGATTGCTCTTCAATAAGTCCAAAGACAAACTATCGCATTTGACTACTTCTATGTGTATCTACCAATTTACTTGCTCATGTGGAGCGACTTGTATAGGTTGTTTGATATGCATTTTATCCAGAAGAGTCAAAGAACATTATCCAGCTTGGCTACGAAAAGTTAACAGTGGATCAATAAGGAGTGTTATAATTGAACATACAGTCAACACTGTTCACTCAGTATGTGAGAAGAATTCATTCAAAGTTATCTACAAAGTCAAAAGAAGCTTCCAGAAAACGGTAAGCTTCTGTATGCTTTGCATCTCAGAGGCTTTAGCAATCCGGATAGAAAACTCTGATTCATGTACACAGAAGAAACTTCACCCCCTCCCTCTACCTCGGGTATAATTCCAAGTTCTACGACTGCCTAATAATGTTTTGTTTTTTTGAATTTTTGTATGGCGTCTTAGTAACATCTTCTTAGCCGACTCCTTATTTACTCTTTCTGCCTATTACACGTATCTCCATTAACATCTTATTTCATATTACGCGACCCTTGTCAATATTTGCCAATCTTCACCCCTCAGTTAAAATTATGATTATTTATCACATTTTAGAAACATTTTGATGACGTATACAGAAACCCTAACTAATTTTTACTTTATTTTCGTTTGACAATCTTAATGTGCATACACACAGAAAAATTATATATAAGTACGACTGTACAGCTATTGAATGACTTCGCAGAAAAGAGACTCTTAGCTGAACTTTGTTATTCTTATATTTGTGAAATAAATAAATCTAAGGTTTCTTTTAGCGAACTGGTCTAATAAAACTTTTAACTCATAAAGATTATCGGAAGAATTGTACCGAACTACCCATTTCCGCGCCATTAATCATATCATAGACATTAGCATGTTATACTTCTACTGATTAAAACACCTTGAATTTTGGGGTAGGTCACTCTGTTTTCACCATACTATATTTAAGAGATGTAATACCAAATTAAACCGATGTATTTAAATACCGTATATTGCATTATATTTTTTGTACTTGCAGGAATCATGTTGAACCTTGTCAGAATCAACATACTTTACACAGAGAATTTACGCCAAAAACTGTTCAATTTTGCTTATTCAGTGGTACACCAAATTTTTAATTGAACACTAGTCAGTAACTAGTGTAGTGTGTCTAGTCATATCTTCGGTGCAGACTGAATTCTATCAGTCATGTTTGCAATGTGGCCACCATGCTAGGTGACTCGCCATTACGGTGCACTGTGGATTGTTGGTACTAGATGGTACTACAGGAGGTCAGTCGCGAACCTGAATAGCTCAGTAGTAACGTCTCTGACTGCAGCACTGGGTGATGCGGGTTCGAATCTCAGAAGGGACATGAGTTCCTTCAAGGTTGCAGATACGCCTTGCTGATGAGTGCCAACTAGCACGAAACCTAGGTCCAAGGCTTCCTGCCGATTGCCTCCAACCATCTAGTACCAACAGTACACCAATTTCTTGGATAAGTATTCTGATTTTCTCCTTCATTCATCCTCATGATTATTATGAGAATCTCAACATCGAATTTCATACTGTTTCAACCTGTTTAACTTTTCTTGGCAGTTGATTTTGAGTCACACTTTATGCTAAATTATACTGAATCATTGGAGATATTTTAAGGTTCTTTTATTTGCTTGTCCTCAGTAATTATATGCAAATAATGAAGAAAAAGGAAGAATCATAAGGACAAGCGCATATTCTCAAGAGACACGAATGGTGTACGCGATAATGTTGGTAATGATCATAATTAAAAGGAAGGTCAGTTTATTTGCTAAACAGTGTAACGGGTAGTTAAATAAATAGAGAATGGAACAGAAAAAGCTAATGTATTAAGAATATTACGATATAATCTAATATGAAAATAATGTATATATATATATATAGGCTGACTTTTATCCATAGTTCTTTTTCTGTTTCACTGCTAGCACTAATTAACGACAGTATTTCCTTAATACAATTTAATCTGAAAATTTACGCATTACAAATTAACTTAGTTTCCTGTTGATTTTAAAACAGGATACTAAGAAAGAAAGAAAAAAATAGGCGAATAATATATGATATTAACATGAATCATATTGAGAATTCTCTCTGTGTGTGGTGTGTGTTAGTAGGTGAAGAAATTTTTTTCGAGGTAAATGGGTACATAATTTGACCTCTTCATAATTTTTCTGAAATAATAAAATTTTAGCTAGAATACGAAATCAGAAAAAAAACCTAGAACAATATTGTTACAGGAAAAAAATCCATCATTTATATTATTATTATTATGATACCCTTGGGAAGACAGAGCTTCAACAGGATTACAGGATTGCCCATAAACTGTCATTTCTTCTTAACCTGATCTCCTCTGTGACACGCTTGAACGTCCATTGTTCATCCTTTCTCATCAATGTGTCTGTCAAGAGTCTGGCGCATGATTTCACTCAGCAGTTTTCCCATATATATATATATATATAACATTAGCCCAAGAGATGATATCATGAGAAAAAATGAATAAAGAATTTCGAGTATGATTGGTTGGAGGATTTCATCATGAGCTGACATCCGTTAGAGAACCATTGGAAAACCTGGAAATACTGGACAGCTGCTTCGTCAGCCTAGTTTGGCACTCTTCAGCAGTACGCACCAACCGGGGTTCGAGCCCAATACCTACAAGGCGAGCTCGTAGACGATTAAGCCACTGGGATACGATGAATGAATGCCAGGTGGTTACTTAGACGAACTGACAATACATAGGAATAAATTTGCAGTTTGGAAATGAGACAGTTTGATGTGGAATTTAACCACAGCTTCCTTTGGAAACAGAAATTTTTCAGAACATAATATATGAACTGCTTGACGCCGCAGATGTCGAAAAATGTAGCAGACATAAACACATGGTAGTATATTCTGTTGTTGAGTTCAATTCCAAACGGGCGAAACGAACATCTGGTGTTTAGCTGAATTCTAGCTAATGAGCACTGCTGTTTGATATAAGTGCCATTAAAATAAGCATATCAATCGGCTGCTGTTTTGTTATTTTGATGCATTTTTTATCACTGTTGAGTTTGGAAAATGAACAGTTGAAATATTTTAGTCGTCTTCGCTGAATACAACCCTGAATGTATTCGAGGACATGAAATGTAGACCCCTTTGACCCTTTTCTTAACACACTACAGCGTGTATCTATTTCTGCTTGTATCACTGAAGATTTCAATTTGTGCACTGAAGAAAAAGAGATTCCTTACTGCCATTTTAAGATGTTGATTAGTTCTGTTTAACATTATAATAATATTTGGATAAAGTATTGGCTTTATCAAGTTAGCTTTTGATGTATTAGAGAACATTTCAATCGTATACTTCAAAATGAACGCTCCTGGATAGGAAGTTTCTGTAGGCATTCTTTGAAACAAGGAAGCATTTGCGATTCAGCTTCATGAACCAACATAATTTCAAAAACAGGTGTTAACTCTCCTTTCTATAACTGTCCGATGGCCAAGTAGTCATTTCCCACTAACGTTCCACTTGTTGGCCTGGCATGTGATGTGGCTCAGAGGTCGCCTAAGAGTATTTCTTATCCATTTTCAATGACTTCTGCATATTTGTTAAGTAATAGGTCGTTGGCTGGTTCACTGCACTGTCAGAGTTTCTTGTTGCATATTCTTTCTTGCTATTTTATTTTCAACATGGAGTGAAGATAGCTGTCGGTGAAAGTTTGCAAGCTGCTAAGAATTCTTTCATGAATTGCTAAGTCTCTCAACCATACAGAAGCACGAACTTGACATCACTATTGAAAATTCAGATCCTGAATTTTATGCTAATTACTATGGATCTCAAAATCCGCTTATTTTTCTGAGATAAATACGGGCAACAACTCAGTTGTTTCACTTTAATTGAACTCAGCTACTTGAAATACTTTTCTCTAAATCAGAATTTCACTTTCTCGCGTATACCAAGAAGGTGTATTGTGAGCTAATTGGAAAATAATAAATACTTGACAAATCAAATATAACGGCTTCATGCTGAAGCGAAACCTACGAGCTATAAGTATTTACAATCATTCAGTATGCATTTACATACCTACTATTGTCCAAGTTGTTTGTAAATTGGATTAAAGGGGAATCGTAATGCAAATATTTTAACTGGTTAATCAAACGTTTGTAACGTTTTCCTCCCTAATGTCAATATTTTCTAAAACTGTCGAAATATTGTGAATATTATGGCCTTATTTTTCCTTGAAATATAAAACAACCGAAGAATAAAGATTTACAATAAGAATCTAACCGAAGGCATTTTATTTTTCAAAAAAGTTATTTAATATCTTTCTAGCATACATCAATCATAAGCAATAAATTAAAATAGCCTAAAATTAATTATTTTTAAATTTGTTAGGCCTTTTTCGCGCCAAAATCAGGAGCAGTAAATTTATTTAATTGATTTTTAATTCTTTTTTCCCTAAATTATAGTTCAGAAATCCTTTAATTTATTTAACTTCAGACTGTAGGTGGAAAGATTCTGGCGAAATCTGCCAAATACATTTTTCTCATCTCTAACTCGTTGACATGAAATATTAGTTGTTATGTATAACAAGTGAGTATGCCTTAGTACTTGCTATACTACTATATTAATCGTAATAACCACATGAAATTTCCAAATATTTCACTTCTAATGCCTAATATTTCTTGTCAGGATCATTTATTTATTGTTTGATGAGAGTAGTGAATAATCTTCATTGAATGTGTGTAGTTTTATCTCATTACATAGTGATCGGTTTTTAAATACAGTCGACGAATTTCAAGATTTACTCAGGTATGGACTAGACTTTGGCTGGTACCTGGTGAGCATAACGTTAACCAGGTGAAATCAGCAGACAGTAAGCATGTACTAAGGCCTGAAAATAAACAAGGCAATTCATAATATGTGTAACCTTACATGGCAAACTCTAATAAGGTAAAACCGGTACAAAATAAGCCAAAAGTGTTTTTGACCTTCAAGTTTGATCACAGAGTGATATGAGTTGAAGAACCATTGAAAATCAGAGTGTACTTGACAGCTGTTTCGTCCTTGTTTGGACTCTTCATCAGTACGTACTTATCATCCCACCAGGGATTAAACCCATGACTTTTGGGTTGCAAGGAGAGCTCTTAGACCATGAAGACACTGGGATGGAATCCAATGGAGTATGGAATCTAACTTCTGTTAACCAGTAATTTTAGCACGACCATCAGCCAATGTCATCGGTGAGTATTTGTCCGCACAACAGACCTGGTGGACTGCACTTGACAGGGCTTCTCACTAGAACTCCATGCACATTCGTCCTGTAGTCAGTCACCAGTGAGCACAAGACTAACCTTTCAACTGTCAGGGAACCATTAAAAACGAGGGACAGCTGTTTGTTAAGATAAACAGCCGTCGATGACATTAGCTGGCTGTCATGGTAAAATCGCAAATTGACAGAAGTTTTAATTTATGGGCCATGTTTATCTTGAATTATATTTAAAATTGATGTTAGAATTCAGTTATGCGCACTACTAGTTTTCTTTCGTGTCATAAATTTAAATATAACTCAGTCACAAATAAGATGTTATGCTTCGATTATTCATAATAATAGATGTAGAATTTATTTTCTGATAATTTTCAAACCATCATTAACTTACAACAATGTAAGATTTTGTAGAAATACTTGAATTTTTTAACTGAAATATGCAGCCAATATGAAAAAAAATATGACAGGAAGAGTGTACTACTTATGGATGTTCTTTTTCGTTTGAAATGAAAATGAAATCATATAAACTGTCTAAGGGACACAAAATTCCAAATGCCTCCAGTTCAGTTAAAGCAAACCATTCCTGATGCTTAGCTACAATGTTATAATCTTTCCAAAACAAACACAATAGATATTCAAGGTGTCAAGCGAGAAACTTGAAGAAAATGAAATTTTGATAACTTGCTGGAATACCATATCTACGTAAGAATTAATGTCACTTTCAACTTATTAGTCGTAAACGTAACTCTGAAATGTGTTTACAGAAAGCCAGTTTTATTGTCAGATTTTTAAAATTAGGCTTAGAGAGTAACTGATTTATATGTGAATGAAACTTACGTTAGTAGATTTGAGAACTAGTGCTAGGCTTAGCCGAGAAAACTTAAGTGGAAAACATATTTATGAATAAATTCCAGTCATGTTCATACAACTCATGCACTTTAGTACTATACATCATGCGGTATCTTTTCACTGCTATCATCCATATCACGTGTAGTGATTTGAGTATTTTTGGCCTGCATATAAAAGTGTGATAAGATTCCGTGTCGCGCTATCTACTTTATGAGTAAGTAAACACAGAGAAATACCCCAAATAAATTCATGGTAAGTTCTCTATGGGGCAATTTAGAATTAGAATTAGGATGAAGAGGTCAAAAAACTGTAAAAGTATGTAAACTACTTATTTCTATTTTAGTAGATAAACGCGAATTTGTAATAAACTTCACATCACATGGGTTATACTGTGTAATCTGTGTTTTATCAGCGTCAGCACGGAACAGGCGATGAATGTAGTGATTCTGATGTAAGACAGATATCACTGTAAATGTTCATATGTTCGAGGAAATTGCATTACGATGTACGCATCACATTAGATCTGAACCATTCATCGTCTGAAGAAATGAAAGTTTTATAATCACGAAAAGTTTTCACAGTTTTCATTCAGTTTTTATTCTAAAGGATGCTATCCAACGGCGTTAATTAACAGCCATTTATGAGCAATGTCTGGAGTTATATTTATGGGAATATTTTGCATGGGCTACAAAGGTATTGTGTGATTCGTTGGTTCAGAGGTCGAATGCCCGCCAACGAGGTATGTAGTCTAGGGTTCTGTCCCAGGTCAACGGATTCCTAATCTTTATTAAGTCGTCATTAAAGCCAATGAAGTGGGAAGTTCCAGCATGGGGCTAGAAACCTCGCCCCATAAAAATAAAACTAATAGTACCTAAACTTTAAAGCTGAAGCATTTATCCACGAGGAACTCAAGGCAATAAAAGTTAAAAAAAATAACCAAGGTATTCTAGCACATGTTCTGCAAAATCGTTATGGTTTATTCATATAATTGCATGTGAAGCCATTTTCATATTTATGTGAAAATGAGGGCAGATTTGAATTAATATGGGAACACTTACAATGTTGCGTGAATTATAGAAGGGATAAAAAAATGAATTTACCTGGAAATTTCTCCATTTTGTTGTCATGTACATAACATCGCGAATCTGTTTGTTTATTATTCTCATCTGTTTGGTTTAAACATGTCATACATAGTTTTTTATATTCACTGCATGAACTTAAGTCTGATTTCACAATTTGTTCTTGAACATATTCACCGAATATTTCATTGATTAATGGTGTATCTCGAGTACAGTAAAATGAATTAGGATCATGTGGAAGGAAAGCTGCTTGCTGGTGAATATAAAATAAAACAATAGAAAAATATTATGGTTTAAATTAACTAACAGAAACTTCCTTTAATAAATACAAAACAGATGATAACGAAAAGGCTGGATCATAGTGATAAATGGGATTTCTGTAAATCTCGTTTGCATGATAAATTTTTTCCCGAAGTAGCAAAATTACCATACCGCTTAATTAAGCTTCGGTGGAAAACTACACCAAATATTTGTAACTTAAAAATCAAAATTTCTTTTCGCTAATTTTGTTTTACTAATAAGTACAATGTATTATTCTCGCTCCAAGATATTTTGAACTTAACGATTAGAAAACAGAAAGATTAGAAGACATAAAAGACTATTGATCTGATTAAATCCATACGACTTCTGCAATACGCCCATCACTACGACGTTCAGTAATGTCGATTTATTTAACTTTTTCTGGAATGATGAGCTCAGTCACAAGTAGGCAATTTTATTGTTTCATACGAAGTGATCGATTTAATGCCCCATCAGTTGTATTTTAGCATCATACAGTGAATCTGTTTTAAAGCAGTCTCTGGTAGAATTTCTGAAATGCAGATCAAAATGTAATGAAACTGTCTGGTGCTATACATTTTAAAAACATTTTTTTCTAAATTAACTATCCGATGGGTCTAATCAGTTATTTTTTTGCTGTCTATCAACAGTTTTAGTTCCAATGTATTCTCCCTATCCAACCGAATTGTATGAAGTGAATCTTTTTTGACAAAGCAAGAGACTGACTCGATTGTCATGAAGAGTAAATTCAGAGTTAAGGGGTGGGGCTAATCAAGATGGCACATTTATGAACGAAAACTTTTAAAGAATCGTGGAAATATGAAATGGGCTCATTACTTTAAATGTTAGAAAAATGACTCCTATCCTGCCTAGGAATGTCCCTCTCTATAAATGTGATTGCCCTTTAGGTTTGGCAGCTGGAGTTAAAAGATATGATTTAGATCTGGAACGTGGGTTTAGTCATTTTGTTCCACAGTACACCTACTCAGTAAATTCTGGACAGTATTCATTAATAAAAAACACAATCGAATAAGCCATGAGGACTTCATTATTGTTATCATTATTGTTGTTACTGTGGGTTCCAAGTGGAACATAGATCTTCAGCAGCACATCTCAACTTTTTCTTATTTTCTGCAGTCCTCTTTAGCTGCCCCCACGGATGCCACTAGTCCCTCGTACAATCTCCTCCATTTCATCTTTGAAGTCACACTGAACCCATCGTTCCTCATTCGACTTCCACTCCAACGCTGGCCTGGTGAGTGATATGATTTGGTGGTCTGCTTACTGTGTACCTAATTCATCTTGGTTTATTTTGGCATATTTGTTGATCAGTGGATTCTACTGAAGAGGACGGTAGAAAACAGAACAAAGTGGAGATGTTTTGTTGAAGCCCTATGTTCCACTCATCCGCAGAGTTTCTTGTTGTGAATTCTCTGTGGCGATCTGATCTTCAAAATGGAGGCAGCGCAGACAGCTGTTGATGAAAGTCCGTTACTTGTTGGAAATGCTTTTTGTGATGCGAGTGCAAAGTTACTGACCCATATAGAATAACTGACTTGATATTTGTTGAAAATTCGAATCTTGTTGTTTATGTTGAGTGCAGTAGATTTCGAAACTGATTTCAGAGTGATGAATGCATGTTTTGCCTTTCTGATACTGGTTTTGGCATCCTCATCTGTGCTGTGTACCTGTAGTGGTAACGATATTTCCGAGATAAGTGAAGGAAGTAACCTCTGTCAAATCTCTCCCGTTGATGATGATTGGTGCTGATTGTTGCTGCTGTTCATTGGTTATATTCACTACCTCTGTCTTCTCTATGTTCATCTGGGGTCCCGTCTTTGCTGCCGGCCTGTTCTGTCAGTTTGTTGGTTTTCTCCTGCAATTCTTCAAGCTTGTTTGACATGAAACACAAATCATCTGCGAAATTCAGAAATTCTAGAGTCTTCTTATCGGTGGTCCAGAGTGCTGCTGTCTTTTCACCCCCCACAATCTAACACAGTCCAGTCCAACATAGTTAGGAATTTCCTCAGCTATAATAGACAGACTTTTCTTACTCCTGTATTCACTTCGAACGCCTCATTGAGCTTCACGTTGTCCATCACCTGACACGTGGCACTGTCATATAGCCAGCTGTTTAATGAGGTTGATAAAGACTTAGGCACCGCACTCCTCAGTCTTGAAACGGTTTCCGAATTGTTTCTCGGTTAGTGCTGTCTGGTGAAGGCCTTTTTGAAGTCGATGAAGTTAAGGTAGAGGTTTGACTACCATGCTTATCCTTCTGTTGTCCATCTTCCCATTGAGTCACCTTCAGTTTCATCGTCCTCATCTCTTCCATTAGCCTCCATATGTCCACGGAGAGCCATTCCTTAACTAGCCTCTTTCTTCCTAAAATGGTGTTACCTGTTTCTTTGAACATTAACTTGAGAGGGTTTCAACGTACTTGCACACATGTTTTCCCAGTGATGTCACGTAGTATTGCTGGCTTTGCTCTGATAGCTTCAGTGAAGGTATCTTTAGTGGTTTCGCCCTTCAATTTTTGAGTATTGAACAAGAATTGTGGTCTGTCTGCAGTTGTTTTGAAAGTTTTCATTTTGACCTTGGAGAGTCTTTGTACTACATAATGATCTGAGCCTACATCTGCTCTCTTTCTCAACTTTGTGTCCAGTAGGCTGCGTCTCCACTTTCTTGATAAAGTCTCTCCGGTATTTGGTGTGTCTGTTAGGTGAAATTCATGCTGACTTGTGTATATCCTGACTTTTCCATCATCAACTCACAAAAATGACCTTTTGTTTCTGAGCAAGTATCATGTGAACAGTTTTATGGACCCACCTCCATAGCTAATACTGTACTTACTGGCAAAAACAGAGGCAGCATAAGACTGCAAATGTATAGAAGGAATATACATTAGTAATGAGCCCTTTGAACTTTACAGTGCTAATAGTAATTGATTAAAATTTAATAATTTTATGTGCTGAAAAGATACGATGTTATATTTGAAGTTGAAGAGTTTTATTACACATGATTGTCTTTGTGAGATATATAATTTAGAAGATAAAGCAAATCTAATTTCGACTAATCAATCTACGAGACTCAATTTTATTCAATATATTTGACTTACTTACAAGTAGTAAACACTTTATGAGTATTATTTTCTCCAAAAAACCGCAAACTAATTAATTCTTAAGTGACTGCTATTAATTTCCAAATTGGTCTATTACCTAGGTACACTCATCAGTGTTCTGCAGAATGACTCACTGCTATCGAAATGACATATATGTACATATATGTATATATGCAGAAAATTCTCACCTACTGATTGTCAAAAAGCCATCAGAGATAGTCAAAATAACTCAGCTTGAATACCTAGAGAGTCTTGTATTTGACAAATACAAAGTTCTTCTAGTTTTACCTGGAATAATCGTTAGGAGGTATATTGCTTTGAGTTTATGGAGTAGTATGTAAAGTGTGAAAGGTTTATTCAGATAAGTACATAATTTTTCGGTGATTTTATTATCAGAGTGTATGGTCCTATTAATTTGTATTTAAAATGCACGTGGTGGAACTGAAATATGACAGTCAGTAAACAAATGACACTGATTCACGCCTGGATAGTATAGTTAATTAATTAAAGCAAAGTTAAGTGATTAGATTTATTCACCAAATGATTCTCAGTGATTTGATTGTCATGAAATCAAAAACAATTAGTTTGTTTTAATAATGGTCTCGTTAAAATATTGATGTAAAATAGAAAAGGAATTAGATAATGACGGTATTGAATGATAAATTTTCCTTAATTACGATAGTGTGGCGATAGTTTTAGACACTCAGTGCTAAAGATTTATTAGTTAGGTTAATACAGAGGAATACGCAAACAATTTCGCCTTATTGCTTTCCAATACTTGTTCCATGTCTGTGGCATAAGATGTGAAAGATAAATAGGATTCGGATAAGCTTGATTCCATTAGGTTTATTCACTTTTCGGTTTCATTACAATGAAAATGAGTTTTCACGCAACTGATCCAGTTTCATTCCATATGGAAGGTTTTAGCTTGACAGTGAAGGATACTAAGCAAGTTGTATTCACCTCTATAAACTTGGGTCGAACGCTCGTAAGTTTTTTGCTTAAATAGCATGCTTGATCTTGCAAGCTTTTGTATGTTTTACTATCTTCATAGTTTCCTAATTAAAGACAGCACTTGTCATGTGCTTATGAGTTTCCATTGGTATTAGTTATACGTGTGTTACAATAAAACTGTATGTTTAGCTTATGCTTTCGGAATGGCATATTGTGGTAATTTATATTACCTTGGTATTTTGTTAGCATGCTTTGTCATTCATTATCCAAACACACTTATTATGTGATCACTGCAAGAAATGCCAGAATGAAAAGTAGTTTTAAGGAAATTATTCTCAAGTTGTCTCAAAGTGATATTCTAAAAGTATGTCATCAAAGTGATGATTAAATGTGATTATTTACAGGATTTCATCATGAGCTGACATCAGTTAGAGAAACATTGGAAAACCTGGGAGTACTGGACAGCTCTTTCGTCCGTCCTAGTTTGGAACTCTTCATCAGTATGCGCCCACGCCACGGTTCGAATTCAGTACCTTCTGGTTACAAGGCTAGCGAGCTCGTAGACAATTAAGCCGCTGGGAGTCGATACAATAGCTAGCCCATGAATTCTAACTTCTGCCAATTCACAGCATAGCGCGACCACCAGCCAATGTTTCCGGCGACTATTTGTCCTCATACGCGCCTTGCTGTACCCTTATAACCAGAAGGTTCTGAGTTCGAACCCTGATGAGTGCGTACTGATGAAGAGTCCCAAACTAGGATGGACGAAACAGCTGTCCAGTAGTCCCAGGTTTTCCAATGGTTGTTTAACCGATATCAGCTCATGGTGAAATCTCGTAAACAACCAATCAAATGCCTACAATCCAATACTTGAATAAATATGATTGTCTTTGATTATA